AGCGGCTGACACTACAGGTGAGGGCTACCAGTTTGCATCATGTATTTTATAAGCATGGGATATGCAGTCATACATATACAAATACATACACACGGCCATAGACAGGCATATCCAGACACGTGCACATAATTGTTTATAGGTGTCCTGCCGCTAGGGGTGGGGTTCCACAAATATCATGTGAACTCACTCGTGAGTGGCTTTTAGACATAAAGCAAAGAAAACCAGCCTACAATTCACAATCCCAAAAACCCTAGACAACAAAGAGGACCCTAAGAGAGACATACATGGATCTAATCTACTTGGGAAGTAGAAAAGGACAAGCTCTCCTGAGCAAATTGGGAGCATGGGGATCATGGGAGAGGAAAGAAGGGGAGGGGAGGGGAGAGGAAGGGAGAGGAGCAGAGAAAAATGTGTAGCTCAATAAAATCAATAAAAAAGAATCTTTACATCTATATTCATACAAATAAATAACATTTTAAAAGATTTGCATATTTATGGGACTTTTATCCCATAGAAGCTCCACAACAGAGTTGTCTTTTAATCATCTTTCCTCCATCATTTTCTTCACCTCTGATTAAGCTCCTGGGAGCAATATGCGGTACTAGGTGTCACCGCCCACGCTTCTAACCCTGCAGCCTTTAGAATCAGCTTCAGTCTTAGACAACCTGAAAAGTCTCTGTGTCTGTGATACACCTGGAGCTAAGGGCGAAACTCTTTGCTTCCATTGAATCAGTGCCACCTAGGTCTGTGTGCAATGAGCTGGGTTTATCGTTGCCCTTGGAAACTATGGGGTTCCCTTCTAAACTTCCTCTCCTCCCCTCTTCCAGCACTTATGCTGTGTCTACCCACCTTTCAACTCCGCCTCCCCTATCACAGTGTCTCAATTCCTTTCCCTCCCCAGCCATTGGCAGGAGGCTGTCAGCATGAGTCTACCGTGTTGAAGGCTGGTTCTTCTTCCTGCACCAGTTCTCAAAGCAGGGTGCATGAGTTTCAGGACTCCCCAAAGTGAATAAGAAAGGTGTTTGGGGCTCAGATTTTGAAACCCAATTCAATAGTTTCACTACAGTATATCTGCCCCTCCCCAGATTAGAAAGCCTGGCCTTATCAAGGACTGATGAAGTTTTATATCGGCTTGGGGGGACATAAGCTTATAGATGCTCGAGAAGACAGTTTGACAATACCGCCTTAAAGTCTAAAACAGCAATTCTCAACCTGTGTGTCATGACCCCTTGGGGGTCACAGGTCATATATCCTGTGTATCAGATACTTGCATTACTATTCAAAACAGTAGCAAAATTACAGTTATGAAATAGCAACAAAATATTTTATAGTTGGGGGTCATCACAGCATGAGGAACCTGTATTAAAGGAGCACAGCACTAGGAAGGCTGAGAACTGCTGCCCTTGATAATTAATGGTCCACTCACTTTATTCTTTGTCTTATGCCATAGAGAATGTGAGCAGGCATATGCCTGGGCACACCCTACACAAAGTTGGTCCTACATACGGGTGTTCCTGGGCTGCTCTGAATGATGGATGTGGGAATAATTCACGTGTCTATCATCACCGAACATATAGATAATATCTATATAGTATATCCATATAGCAGGATAGCACAGAGGAATAGAAACTAGTGCATCATAAGGCACAGAAACAACAGAGTTAAATGTTAAAAATGTGAAGTTGGGACAGCAGCTCAACATATACACGTTCTCAAAGACACACATGTGATCTGTAGGAGTCTATATAATCAAAGTTCAAAAACAGATACAGCTATCACACTTGGGACTCATCCTTAGAGAATAAACTTGCACAGCAAAGCAAGGAGGGGGCTGGAGAGATGGATCAGTGGTTAAGAGCACTGGCTGCTCTTGCAGAAGACAGGGTCCCGCTCCCAGCACCCACAACCATCTGTACAACCATCTGTGACTTTAGTTCAAGGGGGTCTGATGCCCTCTTCTGACCTCCATGGGTACCAGGTACACAAGTGGCAAAAGCTCAAATACATAAAAATGAAATAAATAAATCCTTTTAAAAAAAACTAAAAAAATAAAAGAAAAGAAGGAAGATGATTAAGCTTCCCTGGGAGTGAGCCTGGGAGGTTATTGGGGTTGTGGGTGTGCTAACATCATTCAAAATAAAAGCTCAACTAAGCTCAACCCGCAGGCTGAGCTGCCAGGGAGGATTTTACTGAGCGGGGAGTCTCTGACTGGGATTCATTTCTCCCCTCTTCCTTCCTCTTTCATCTGCAAATGAGGTTTCCATGCCTACACTCTCCTCTGTGCCCGAGACAGATGTGCACATGTGTGCCCACTTGCTCTGCCAAGCAACACACTTACTCTGAGAGAACAGATTCTCCAATCTGACCTCCTTTGGTCTTGTCTGACCTCCAAAGAACTCCCCTTGGGATTCAAGAATCTGAAAGAAGTGGGAGCAGAATTTTACTTCGGTTCCTCCTACAGAGCCGGGCTGGAGAGACGGAGTGTTTTTTCCATTTCCACACATTCTGCCTTTTCAATCACTGCATACCCCAGACAGACGCCCTGCATAGTCTTGAGTCCACCACAGTCTAGGATACAGCGTTTTACCTCATGGGTCAAAAGACTCCTGTCAGCACAGCGACCTGTTCCCTCGGGTTGTCTGGCTTAGGGAAACCTCCCTGGAGTGGGACCTTCATACATATGGGAGACAGCCACATTTCCATGAGAGACTCCTTTGGAAGAACTATGGTTTTTAAACTCTGGTTAGGAAAAACTGATGCCAACAGGGCAGACAACAAGGACTGGAAGGAACTTCTGAGATTGATTAGAAAGAGCCCTGGACCAGAACCAGAAGGCCTGAACCAGAACCCAGCCCTAACTCTTGATTTCAGGCAAGCCATGGAATTTCCTGAGGGCTCACATCCTGCTCCGCTCACAGAAACAAATCACTAAATGTATATGGAATGTTTAAAAAAATGTAAAATGCTGTGTAAATACAAGGACAGCTATTATAAAAGTCCAACGCTGGCTACCAAACGTGAGCACTGAAAAGAGATACTCGCGTCACTATGACGATTGAGACAAAACCTCAGTGACTCAGTGCCATCCCGCTGGGCCACTGCACTGCCCTGCACCAGATTCCTCCCGCTTCCACCCCATAGCCAGAAGTGGGTCGGCTGCCACGGGAGCTGGGAATGGGCTTGGTCCATCTGGGGAGTCCATTCCACTGCCTCCTCTGAGGAATGGGTAACTGACCTTGGCCTCTGATCTCCTCTCACAAAGCTATCTTCCTGAGCTGTACTTGCTGGCAAGAATGGAAACTATGTGGCTGTCAGGGGCAGATGAAACTGTGAAGGGTGGCTGTTAATCGCTTTCTTAAAGGGATATCACACATTTGGACAGTTCTAGGGGACTCTGGGAACTGAGGCACTTTCCAGCTCTGGGCTCTGGTTTGACCCTTCGGAACCAATGTGTTTGGAAGGGTCGTGTGTTTGCATGGATTCCTGGAGTGAGATGGTAATGTCATTCTAGCTATCAATATCGGGTCTACTCCGCCAGGAAGTCCCTCTGGTGACAGTCGACAGAGTAGAGCGGGCTGATGTGGCCCATGTGGCTGCCTCACTCTGTCTGCAGGCTCAAGCTGCAGACCCTGGACCTTCTTATCACACTTGGCAACTGAAGTGACTTTAGACCCACTAATGTCCCCAGAACAATGTTCTTATTCTGAAAACTCTTCTCAGTATGGAAGGGTCTAAACTTAAGAGTGACAGAAGCGGAACTGGGGTTCACTTTCTAGGAAAGGGTTTTGAGACAAGTCTTGCTATGTAATTCAGGCTGACATCGAATGCATGATCCTTCTGCTTCTGCGTCCCAAGAGATGGGATTAGAGACATGGGCTACCATGACTGACTTTGGGGGACAGTTAAAAATCTGTTTCTCTCTCTCTCTCTCTCTCTCTCTCTCTCTCTCTCTCTCTCTCTGTGTGTGTGTGTGTGTGTGCCTGCGTGCACACCATGGCACAGGTGTGGAGGTCAGAGGTCCCTTGGGGAAGTCTGTACTCTCCTGCCACTATGTGGGTCCGGGGAATTGAAATCAGTAAAGGTGCAGGGGGCAAGCACCTCTAGCAACTGACTCATCTCACAGGCCCCTCTGGGAGTGTCTTTTACAAGTGAAGGGAAGGTGCTGAGCTAGCTAATCATGAATGCAGTGATTCATCTTCTCTGCCCAGCATTCCCAGCAGGGCATTGTGGGAATGTTTACCCTGGCCTCTCCTTGGTCATAACTCAGATGCTGTGTTTAAAGATTTTGACGTAGTTCCGTCGTGATTAGTGTACCTTTTGTCGCCCGGAAAATCATACAAAAGTGGGCAGGACATCATGAGAGGGGCGGGGGTATGGCTGCTTGGTGGCGGCAGACAGAGTAACTCTGCTAACTCTGAGCCTGCTGCTCTTTCTGTGTAAACTAGAGATCTTCTCTTTCTCACAGCTACTAATCACTCAGCAGGAAACCTCCGATTCCCCATGATAGGACCCCCAAAGCCTACCTATCCCCATGAGGAATGCTGACATGTTTGTGGTCAACAACCCTTACATACTCAGCAAAACAGCTACAAATGTTATTAAATTCAGCACTTAGAGCAGCGGTTCTTAACCTGTGGGTCGCGACCCCTTTGGGGTTGCATGACCCTTTCACAGGGCTCCCATATAAGATATTTACATTACAATTCAAAACAGTAGCAAAACTACAGTTATGAAGTAGCAACGAAACAATGTGAGGAATTCTATTAAAGGGCCACAGCCCTAGGACAGTTGAGAACCATTGCTCTAGAGCCACACTCCGAAACTAACACAATAGATTTATTTGCGCTTGAAGTAGTAACTCTTTGGGTACAAGAGCTAGACGTCAGCCAGCAGCACCCAGTCCATGAGCTTCTCCCAGGGGGCTGAGTGAGCAGAACTAAAGGGTTCTATCCTTTGGGGCTCGCGTGCAAAAACAATAGTAAGACTGGACTCTTCCTTACCTCTTCCAGCTTATCCACTCGCCCCACCAGTTTGGTGGTGACTGAATGCAGCTTTAGGAGATCCAGGCCATAGAAAGCGCCTTCCAGCATGTCTATAATCGTGGACAGCTAAGGAACAAGAACAGAGGGTTAGTTAGTTCAGGTTCAGGGCTGGGGCCAAGAGAACTCCAGGAAAGAAGTTCTCTTTTAGGTCTCTATGTTGGAGGCTCTATACGGAGGCCACGAGCCAGGAATTGAGAGGTACCCTTGGGAGCGCATTTGTGTAGAAAAAGGACACAGAAAAGCCCCAGCTGTGATGTGTATTCTGCCTGCAAAAAGTGAATTAGATAGATGACCTTACAGGAACATAAACCTGAGGTCTAGACGCTTTAACAGGTTGTTTGTGTCTGTTACAGGACAGGCCAGCTGCTTCCATTCTGCCCTTCTTACTAGACTCTAAGCTCCTCATCCCTGTTCTCTGTCTCTCTCTGTCTCTGTCTCTCTCTGTCTCTCTCTGTCTCTGTCTCTCTCTGTCTCTCTCTCTGTCTCTCTCTCTCTCTCTCTCTCTCTCTCTCTCTCTCTCTCTCTCTCTCTCTCTCTCTCTCTCTCTCTCTCTCTCTCTCTCTCTCCTAGCAGGTAATTCAGAGTATGTCAACACCTCGAGGACATGCTTATGAAACCCTTCACTTCTTTCTAGACTAAACGCTCTGAAAGTCACCCAGTGTCTTCTCAGTACAGAAAACTAAACTGACCCTGGCTTATAAACAACACAGTGGTCCATGTTTGAGGTGGCATCCTGTCTCAGGGCATATAGCCTTCTTGTCTTTTCCAAATACCTCCCCTAATAACTTAGGCTGTGGCAGCATCTAGGGCCTGCAGAGCTGAGGCAAAAGGAGAGGTGAGACACGGGAAGCGCCTTCCTTCCTACCAAGGGCCTGTCTGGGGGAGAGTCCTGGGCCACGCCTCTGCAATCTTTGCTCCCCATGTATCTCCTTGCTTTGCTTCCAAATGAAGAACTCCACACTGAAATGCTCAACTTTTAGACGATCTCTTCTCATCCCAGGGGCTCCTATAGCTGGTTAGCATAGACTTTCATAACTTTTCTGAGTCCTAAGAGATTTTGTCTGGTGTGGTTCCAGAAATCCCCACAGGGTCCAACCCTAGAACTGAATACTGTGGTGCTGGCTTCAGAAAGTAACCCTGAGTAGAACTACCACCCCGAGTCACATGGCCAAACCTGAGCCAGTCCTTGTCATGTTAAAAAGGTCTCTGCCACTATGTCAGCGAGTGGGTGCCAGATCCCAGACCCAGCAGCAACACATCAGCCCTCCCCTCATTCACTCATGGGCATTGTGCCAACTACTCACTAGGTGTCATCCATCAATGTTCCCAGATTCCCCCAAGGTCCTCCACACTGTATTCAAGGGCGCTTAAGACAGAGAAGCGAAGAGAGAGGACCATACAGCAAAGACTGGAACACAAGGCCGTCTGACCTCCCCACATGGCTAGTGAAAGAGCCAGAACAGGGCAGCTGAAGTCCCCAGCCAACCAAGGGGCTGCCCACATGAGCCTAAATTTCCTCACTTACAAAACACAAGCCCTGGGGTAGTAAAAACTTGACCAGAGCAAGTCACTCTAAGAGCGGTGCCAGGACCAAAGGGCTCGCTCCTCTTTGTGCCTTTAGCATCTTTTGTGTTCTTGGTAGGCAGACAGTAAATTGTAACAGCGATTTTCCTGGAGAACACTGAGTTCTTTTGGCCAGATGGGCCTGGCAGCTTCTCCAAGGCCTGGCTTCCCTGGTTGCCTAGGAGGAGTGGGCATTGGGCAAAAATTTCTCCTCCCACTCCCATCTCTCTCTGACTTCAGAGATGAAAATGTCTAGCTTGTTAGATTAGCCTCACATCGACAATGAAGACTCAAGGGGCCAGACCTGAACTTCTTCGAAGACCTTCCATGCCCAGCCATGAGTCGGTAGTCTCTTAGAACCCCAAGGGACCCTCTGATCCAAGGCACTTCCCTATTGCCAGCTCCTACCTTCAAATCCCGGCTGTCTGCTTCCCGAAGCTTCTGGAGCCTGAAGTCTCCCTCACAAGGATTGACGGCAGATGGGGGAGCAACACAAGCACATTTACAGGAGGAGCCCGAGGTGATGGTTTCCACAGTGTAGACATCTTCCTTTCTGGAAGCCCCCGTGTTGATCCTTTGGCAGGCATCTCGGCCCAATGGTCTCACCACGCACTTGCACTGGCAGTCGGAGCCCTCAGACACAGCCTTGACTTTGTCGTAGTCTCCCAGCAACTAGACACACACATAGAGATGGAGTTGGAGAGATGCAAAAACAGGCTTCTCTAGGAGGCTGTCATTTCACTTTGTCAAATGCCCTAGCCAAAGGCTTTAGCCCTGAGCCACGGAGTGAACAAGTCATAGCTCATAATTCGCTGACACAGACATTTCCTTGAATGTACTCAGAACTCTGCTAGCATGCTGGCCTTGGAAAACTGTCTATTTTGGGGGGTGGGGAGCTTAGCTTTTTACCATTTAAAGAAAACAAAAACAAAACCAATCCTCATTGTTCTTTCAATAGCCCTTTGCTCAAATCCAGGTTTACATTAGAAACGGAGACAGAGTTGAAGGAGGAACGGGAAAGCTGGCCTTTGGACGATGAGGACTACAGGGGTCTCCTCCATTTCTTCACTCAACACTTACAGAGCACCTCCTCAGGTCTGTGCGAAGTATGCTGAGAGGCAGTGATGGGCCAGGCAGAGAGCCTGCTCCTGAATAGACCCCTGGAAGTAATGCACACAGACTAGACAGCGCCAAGTGCCCCTGAAGAGCAGGGATAAACTTGTGCTGGGAGCTAAGGCTCCATCTGCTTGGAGGAAGTGGTATTTGATGTGAGCCTTTAAAGACAGATTAGATTGACAGAGATCTGGCAGAGACAGGGAAAAAAAACAGATCCAGAAGTCTGTAAGGTTTACATAGCCTAAGTTTGACTGCTGACCCAAAACTCTAGCCCCAAACCAGAAGAACTAAAACTAGTTACAATGTTAAACATTTCCTTCTGGGCACATGCTCCTCCCAGCCTCCTCATGCCGGCTTTCTGTGGCCCCTGGCCTGGGAGAAAAGCCCTCATAAGTCCCATCAATCTCCAATGGGCCTTATATCCCCAGAGCCTAGGCTCCTATCCTAAACAGGCAGAGGGGTTCCTTCATTTGACTAACGATGGCAGCAGGCCGGCTTGGAGCCTGCCAATGTTCCTCGGGATACTGTTTTCGGGAAGAGAGCTTGTAATGTTTTCCTTGCAATGGTTGGGTTTCTTCTAAAGCTAATGTTTGCTTTAAGATTGTTGTCAAATACAGACGGGACCAAGTGGGAGAAGGAGGTGTGTGTAGTTCAGGGTGACTTAAGCAGCTAGTCTCTCCACGCTGATAATAAATCGTTCCTGTCTCCTTTCTGAAACTGCCTAAATTCCTAGGCAACCCTGCTCAGAGAACCCGGGATGGGTTCCTTCCCTTCAGGGGGCTCCGGTTTCAGGCAAGCTTTTGTTTATGGTTTTTCCAGAGCCCCAGTGGGAGGAATTTTAAGTCTTTTCAATTGAAGGGTCAGTGTGAGGTTATGGGTGGGCACAGGGCATATGTTAGCATAATTATTAAAAGAAGAAACAAGCATTTGATCAACCCCAAAGTAGGGCTGACAGCTCTCTCTCCTTCTCCTCTCTCGCAAAGACCCAGACTGAGGGCCAAGTGGAGGTACAGGCAATACTCGGCATCCTTTCTCCGACACTGCTCATTCTGAGGACTATGGTGACGCCCACTGCACATCAGAGTGCCAGCATCGGAGAGCTCAAATACCACGTAAGTGAGAGAAGTGTCCCTTGCAGTCCTGAGAACTAGGCTGGAGACCGCCAGAAGCCAGGCTCGCTCTTTCACTTCTAGCCTCTCTGGGAGGGCTATCAGGGTGTTTTGAGGACTGAGTGAGATTCATCAACAGACACGCCACAAGGCTCATCACTATCGTGGGTCACTTGGCCCCCACTGAGAATCAGCCAGAACTGTGTGGATCCGTACTTCCTCTCTCTACTCCCAGCAAACCAGGTCTTGACATAAATCTCTCTGCCCTGGGGTTCCCCTCATATGCATCACACATGTGGCAGTTGTCTTCGCCCCTGCTTCGGCCCCCCAGTGTCCCATCCGAGGCCATAAAACATCTCCCATGGCTTATGCCATCTGCCTCCTATCCAGCATGCCCTCCTGTTTACACATTCCAATTGTGACAAGCACTCTCCAGGCAAGAGGTACTTTTCACAGCCACTATACCAACACACACGCATACACCTTTCTTCTCAAGGACTGTATGAAGTCCTCCTTTCCCCTCCTTTCTCCTCACTTGGCAAGCTTGAAACACTCCATAATTGTTAGAGGAGGACCCATACACCGACTTTTAAGAAGATACCTTAACAAAACAAACAAAAAGCCCGAGTGGTGGAATCTCCACTCTTGAGAAGTGAGAACCAGAAATTCAAGGCTAGCCTCAGCTACATACTGAGCTGGAAGTCAGCCTGGTTTGTAAGAAAGTCTGTCCAAAACCAAACAAACAATATACTATGGTAAACGAAAAGGAAACACCCCCCCACACACTAAAAATAAAGAGAAAACCAGCTGCTCACAAACTTCATCCAGGGCCAGCCTCACGTCCTTGCCATCCCCCCAAGGCAAGAGGGGAGGGCGTGAGATTCCTTACCCTACCTGAGATAAAACATTCTCCTGGTTGTCCGCCTCGTTTTGCAGAGTGTCATCCTCCTCCGTGGGTGCCACTGTTTCCACATCAGGGGGCTCGCTTGTCCCTGTGGGAGGGGTACTGGACCCCCAGACCCATGTCACCATCAGAGCAAAGCAGAGAACTAATGTCAGAGGACTGGCCATGAGTGACCTACACACAGGGACCTTAGTCCCTCCAGAGACCACCTAGGGTTGGGGGTCTCAGCAAAGACAGGCTGGAAGGCGTCTTCACAGGAGTCCGGAAGAGTGGCCGCTCGGAGAGCCGTCTAAAGCTGGGTGTGGCTGAGTGGAGTAGGACTAAACTCCCCAGGGACCCTGAGCATCTCCTCCCTGACCCCAGCAGCCTAGAACTGTGCAGAGAGGGCACAAGAAAGAGGTGACCGAGGGGGCGGAGGCGGGCGCCGGTTCGCTGAGGGCGTCACCGCAGGGTGGGCTCAGGTGGAAGCTGGCGCCGGGAAACTTGAAGCAACGGGGACCGAGTGCAGGACGGACAGTGGCCAAGGCGCGGGAGGCGAGGGAGGGCTGCTGGCCCAGGGCGCCGCGGGGCTGGCGCGGAGGGAGGGCGGAGCCTCTATTGTGCCGGGGCAGAAAGATGCAGCCAGTGACGGCGCGGAGGAGGAGGACCGGGAAGCGCACAGATTTGGGCTCTGCGCCTGGGGACCCCGCCTCCTCCCCGATCAGCCGCTGCGCTAGTGGGCGCTGGCTGGCGTGAGAAGGGCGCAGCTGGCCTTGCTTCGGACGGTAGATACTGACCCCAATGGGACTTCATATGTCTTTTCGCGAGTTTTCTTCATGCCCTGACTTGTCCCTGGACTACAACTTTGACAGAGGAGAACCGCCCGCCGGATTTGACTCCACAGGGAGTGCGGGCAGCTTTGAATTTAAAGCCAATGGTAGTCCGCATGCCCTCCACAACTTTAGAACCTGATACCTTCACCCAGAGGATGCATCTTGAATCTCTGCCAGAGTGTGGCAGAGTTGGATAAACACTTAAAATAAGGATACTGGCTACAGGTCTCTAGCGCTCTGTTTGTCCTGGTGACTTCCCAGAACCAAACAACTACCACAGGGAACACCTCTTAAAAATCTCATGGTTTGGGACGAATCGCCAGGCCACTCTCTCGCTCTGACCTGACAGTCTTTAAAGGGTGTATACTTGCAAGGGCTTGGTAGTATACCGCCATGGTCTTTAATTGGTGTCCCCTGTATTTGCCTACTCTGAACATTAACAATGTGTCACTTTCAGGAAGAACATTCTATCGTCCAGGACAATTGTCTCTCTGAAGATGCTCAACGGAGCTAGATCAATTCAAGGATTGGACCTCCTTGAGAAATCCCAAACACTTTGTTCCTAAAGCTAAGCAACAAGGTTGGAATAAATGTAATAAATCAAGCAGACTACAGCTTAGATATGATGATAGTTGACAGAAATGTAATGTTACCATTTACTAATCACCATTACTAATATTTCAGTGCTAGGGATCCAACTGAGGGCCTCCTGGATCCTAGACAAGCTTTCTGACACTGACCACACCGTTGACCCTAATAATAACAAGTATTAGTATTTTCTTAAAAAGAAAAAAAAGTTTATGTAGAAAAATCTAAGCCTCTAGATGTGTACTTTTGCAGGAACGCTACATACACACTTTTCTATGAACATTATTCGATCTTGTCTGAAACTAGATGGGGATTAATGCTATAAATGTCGTTTTCAAGTCCAGTTAAAAGAAATGTTGAGGGCTGACTAAATCCAAGGTGATAGTCAGCGAGGCGTTTTTTGGGTAGATCTGGGAGGTGCAAGAAGCAATGGGGACCCTAAGGCAGAATACAACCATATCCTGCATAGCTTGAAGAAACAGGCCATGCTAGCAAGAAGGTCAGTAAGGGTTTGATGGAAGAGTGACACTGAGGAGGGTGACCATCACAGCGAGGGTGTTTCAACAGGTAGGAGATAGATCCAATGCATCCCGGATGTATTTCCAGGAAGATGGCAGCCTCAGTCTTCACATTCTCTTTTCGGATGACAGTCACCAGTCAGGAAAGCCTTTCCTGACCCAGGATGGTTCCTCTGTGGTGATGTAGTCTTACAGGACTGGTTGTTGGGAATTTATCTGTCTTTCCCACTGTAACACGGCAGGAACTGTTACATCTTCAGAATGCCACCACCAGTACCTGGAACACTGTCTTAGTTACTTTTCTACTGTCATGACCAAACACCATGATCAAGGCAACTTAAAAAAAGAAAGCATTTAATTGGGAATCGTGGTTACAGAGGGTAGTAGAGTTCATGACCATCATGGACGGGAGCATGGTGACAGGTGGGCAGGAGCAATAGATAAGAACTTACATCCTGGCTTGCAGGCAAAGGACACAGAGAGAAACTGGGCCTGGCATAAGCTTTTGCAACCTAAACCCAGTCCTTGTGACACACCTCCTCCAACAAAGCCATGGCTTCTAATCCTTTCCAAAGAGTTCCATCAACTTTGAACCAAGCATTTAAATGTATGAGCCCATGGGGGTAAGGAGGACATTTTCATTCAAACTACCACAAGCATAGTGGCCACTCAATGACTATTGGTTGAATAAATGGAAGCTACAAGTAGTATAACTGGATGTATTTATTCCCCCATTGCCTTCATCAACAGCATCTTAGTATTCACTAATGTGCATTTGACTGGAGTACCAGAGACTCCCACTAGCAATGCCCTAATCAAATACACATTTCCCCCCTAACTATAGGAGTTGGCTGTTGAGCTGCTCAGTCGTGTAATCAAGGAACCTACCAAACTCTTTTTATTATCTACTCTACTGTTACTAGGGTATCAGCATGTTGATCTGATCATAATTGGTTTAAGCTTGATTTGGCTGCACATAGTCAGACACTCAATTTTCTTGTCTCCTGTACAGCAAAACGTAGCGATAGGATTCTGTGCTGCTCAACAAATTGAATAGACCTGCAAGGAGTTTCTGGAAGATATATTCGATTTCCGATGAGAGACCAAAGGGAAAGTGGGGGCTTTCTGACGCCCCCCCCTTCTCTTTGAATGCGGTCATGGCGCTTGGAGCTATAACAGCTGTTCTCGAGGCCACGAATCTCTGTCGTCCTCATCTGGAGGATAACTCCTTTCTCAGACTCACTCTTTTCTTTTACATTGTTTTTATTGAGCTTATATCTTTCTTTGCCCCCTCCCTTCTCCCCCGCCTCCCCTTCTACCCTCTCCCATGATCCCCAGGCTCCCAATTTACTCAGGAGATCTTGTCTTTTTCTACTTTCCATGTAGATTAGATCCATGCATGTCTCTCTTAGGGTCTTCTTTGTTGTTCTTTCTAAGACTCACTCTTAAAGTATCTTCGAAATACTCAACTCTGTGGTCCCAAAGAACGTGATTATTAGGTCTCCACCAGAGGGCTTTTCTTTCGCGTGATGGTCCAAATTACACACCTTCTAAATCACCTCATTCTTAAAATAGATAGGTCCCTGTCCCTGTTCTCTATGGTCTTCCTCCATTTTAGTATCTTTCTCAGATCATGCAGCTTTCCAAGATCCTCCATTACTGTAGTTCTCTCTCTCTCTCTCTCTCTCTCTCTCTCTCTCTCTCTCTCTCTCTCTCTCTCTCTCCCTCCCAGTTTGAAGAAAAGTTGGAGCACAGAAAAATAGGTTTACTTTTTCTTAACTCTGCTCTTTTAAGAAAGCATTTTGTTTTGGTGCTTGAGACAGGGTCTCATTCTAGCCCACGATGGCACAGAACTCTGTATGTTGGCCATCCTGGCCTCAAACTCACGGCATTTCTTCTGCATCAGCCTCTGTAGCACTGATGGTACCAGTGTGAGTCACCACCCTTGCTTTCCTGGTACTGTTCTTTCATTAATGAAGCATGCAGCCGCCTCAGCTTTTTTGGCAGTCACATTTCACAAGTGATTCACGATGATTTATTTTTTAATGTAGTTTTTATTTTTCATATGTAAGTTTTATGTTGGTTTCTTCTATTCTCTGCATTCCAGTGATTTTTGTTTAACCCAAGTATGGACTTTTTACATTTTTAACAGTGAAAATTATGGTGGGTTTGGCCCATCATTTTCAACCTGTTGAAAGCATGATTTTTTTAAAAAAAATTTTTTTTTCTAACTTTGAGTGAGTTCCAGATTTAATAAGTAGAATTTCTGTCTGTATTCAAGTCATTTAAAAAAATGTTCATTTAAATGGGGTTAGTGTGGTTAGCCTTACACCCACCATAAAAAGGCTCTCCTCAGTGTTCCCTCCCTGCCTCCCTCCCTGCCTGCCTCTCTCCCTGATTCCCTGTCTCCCTGCCTCCCTCCCTCCCTAACTCCCTGCCTTCCTACTTATTATCCTGGCCTTCACATTGGTTAAGCTGTGACTCTACCACTAAGTTACAACCCCTTTCCTTTATGCAGTTTGAGTAGCCAGTCAAAGAAAGATTCTGATGCCTAGGCCACATGTTCTTTAAGACATGCTCAAGCATTTCCCCAGGAATCCTTTGTGATGTGTCTTTTGGAAATCTCTATGCCAGGGCCTCCTTCTACCTACTAATCTTGTACCCTGGGCTGAAGATGCCGAGTTGGGCTTGGTTTGGCTTTCCAGCCGCAGAGTTATCTACTGGAGACTCCCCAGATCCCTTGCTAAGAGCCTGTTGATTTCAAGTCCTTCGACCCTCAGTGTGTTCGTATAAAGTAAATACAACCCTCCGTGCCTAACAGATGAAGTCACCAAGGTGCCATGACAACATAGAGTCTGCATGATGGCAGCGCTGCACTGAGAGCCAAGCCTATGCCAGGTATCAAGTGATGTTCAATCCCCAAATCGGTGACATTACTTCCTCTTACAAATGTGGAAATGGATTTGGAGTGGGACATGCTATGGAAATGTTCAAGGGGGGTGGGGTCTCAGAAGCCCCAAGTGTGCCACTTCAGCTCTCAGAGACCCGAGACACTCCCCGTTTTTGCCTGCCGGTATATTGCTGCATGCATGGGATTGCCTGGCTACCTCAACTGTCACCCTGTCGCCCAGCCCCCCGCCCAGTCTGCTTTTGGCACGAGCGTCTGTTTTCCCATTTACCCAGGAGCCCCTGGCTTTCCTCTGAAATGTCAGTCTGTTGCCAACCACGGCTTCATTTGCCAGGTGGGGCTGGTGGCTAAAAATGACCTGCCACCTCCGTGTGTGATTTAGAAAAAGCACCTGCCCCACAGCAGCAGAATCAAAGAGCATAACAGGGTCCCATGAGCAACATCATTCTGCCATCTCCCTCCCCTAGCTGGCTAAGAGTCGGAGCCAGGCCAGGGAGCTGCAATAAATGCGGGACGGAGGGAGGGAGGAAAGCGCAGTTGAAAATGAGGTCTTTCTTCCCTGGTCTCTCTGCTTCGCTGCTTTCTCATCGTATTTTTCCCTAGGTCTTCTGTTCTCTCTTCTTCAGTTCAGCTTAACTCAGTTCCTGAACATCCATGGGGGCCAGGAGCCCTGACTGGGCACAGCACACTAGGATGCAGTGTGGTTACTGCATGGCCTCGGACTTCAGGAACTCGCGTTCTAGAGA